TCTCCTTAACTCTTGCCGATTTCCTCCATCTTATCATATTCTGGATTTGTGAAAATCCAACTCCTCTTTGAACTTCTTCTTTTCGACGATATAACAGCTGTATCTCAGCTTGCTCGGCCTATTTTAGTACCTCGTCCAAAGTCATCCTTACTGGATAATCTTTCATCCAAATGAGAAGTTCCGGTCTCAACTTTCTGAGAAAATACTTTTTAAATTGTTTCTCTTTAATTTTGGAATTAATTTCCAAATTCAGGTTCAGAAATCTTTAGTAAAAATCGACGGCTGTTCCATTTTCTCGTTGTACACAACGACTTCTTTTGATCTTCATAGTCTCTTTAGCACTGAAGCGGGTAATTGAGTCTCCGACAGTGACTTGCAAAGAGGGCGCTGGGCGAGAGCTGTTAGTCGTGAAGAAGAATTTCAAGATTTTCCTTTAGTTTTTCTTTTACTTAAAAAGCATTTGAAATATAGGAGAACGTTGCTGGACTATATTTGCTTTTTTTTTTACTGTGAATTTCAAAAATATATCACAGCATTGTTGCACACTGTTTAATTTGATTTAAGTTCGTTTATTGATGTAAGAGTAGAAAATCCCAAAAATACAAGTCACAAAAGCGGATCGAGGATCCATATACATGTGGTCACCGTAAAAAAAAGGAAATAAACACTTGACTGTTACAGATTCGCTAATCCATACTAAATAGTACCAAAGGAAAAATGCGAGAAGAAGTGAGAGAAAGAAGATATTATGAATAAGTATACAAGTAAGCATAAAATGTGATAGCTGTGTGATGTGTTGGTGCTGCAGACGTGTAAGGCGGCAGAAGTGAATCAGACACTGTTTAATTTCTATCCGTAATATAGACTGTAGTGATAAGAGTGAGAATGCTTCGCTTAGAAAATTATTATATTTTCTGTGTTGTAATAACTCTATATATGTTAAGATTCTTTTATGTTGCGACTTACATTTTTCAATCAAATTGACATAATTCAAAAAAAGTGGATAACAGCTACTACTGATGTACTGGTCTGATATGTTTTTATGATAATAGTAATAATAATCATCTGTTATATAGGAGATCAAAAAAGTTGGTTTTTTAGGGCTAAACAGAATAATTCAGAAATCGTTCCTCATATTGGTTATTGGAGTTTTTTTTCTTCATATACAAGCTAATTAGTCATGTTTTAGGAGTAAAACACCAACCAGTAAACCATTTAGAAATAAGTAATGTCAGGTGAGGAGAGCTGCACATGCGTTTTTGTTTGTTATTTCTGCTTACAATATATACTTCCGGTTAATATTCAATAGCATAATGTGTTACGCTGATGATAGTCACGGCCTAAACAACGGGTGGGATATATATAAATAATATTTTCTCTCACGTACAAAAAAGAATCAGTATCAAAACGGTGTGCATATTTTGTAAGACGTGAGAAAACACCAATCCGATCATCAAGTAGAATAATAACATATTCTTGTGCAAAGAAGATTTCTAAACATTAAAATATGAATATGTATCGATTTATAATATTTATATTAACAATTGTTTTGGGTTTAGTCGTATTGACAACAGATGCCACAATAGAGGATATAACTTGTCCTCTCACAAAATGTGCTGATTTGGAACGAAGACTGGCAATTTTAGAAAAATCGGTGGGTAAATTAAACGATTGCATATCATGTGGAGAAAAATAGCAAGAGAATCGGCCAACTAGTTTTTCAGAAATAAAATAAAACTCAAACTATAAGTAACATAATTAAGCTGGCATTTTCAACCACTCCTCCCATTCAAACACTATCTCCTATAATATACATCCGGATTTCTTTATTTTTTGTGATTCCAAACGTTTTTTCCTGTATATGATATTGTTTTTTATGCATTTATATCCTATGAATAAAATCATATAACATCAAACTCTTGAATATTAATTAAACTAAAACGACGGCTATCTTTCGAGAAAACTACGCTTTCCAACATCGCCAAGTCAAACATCAGTTTCCCTATTTATATACTACAAACAATTTGAAATCATCGCCGGAGCTTGTAGAATGGATTTACAAGTTTGGCCTATGAGCCAATATCTATAGCAGTCACCTAAGATTGAAAGCTGGTGTTATCAGAATTTAATGCCGTTTCCACCATATATTCTCTTCGGTCTCAGAACACTCCTCACGTAACTAGAATTTCTTCGAATCTTTTACTTGTTGAATTCTAGTGATTAGGGTTTTGCCTCCCCAACACATAATCAGAAACCTTGAATATAATTGAAGGTATTTTTAAGTATCCAGTCTTGTAGAACTCGCCGAGCTGATCATTTTTCAGGACAGGAACCCGATCTCTGCTAAGGGAGAATCGTTTTTTGACGTAGGACTATAAAGAAGTGATAGACCATACTTTCTTAATTACAGGACGAAAAAGGGTTTAGAAGCTTTTAATAAAAAGAGCTGAAAAAAGTTACTAAACGCCATTCTCTCCTAAACTCTTTTTCGTTCGGTACAGTTTAGTTGTCCTACACCCTTTAGGGGGTTTAGGAGGGAGTTTGAGAGATGTATTCATTCATATAGCTCCGGATATCAAAACAACTTACAAGGTTCAACGTTTTCTTGAAAATGATAAAAATGGCAATTTTTCTAATGAAAATATAAGGAAACGAACTAAAGTTATAATTTAGAGGATGATTCGTAGCATTTCATTTGTTAGTTTGTCCAATACAGAAATTCCATGTTCTCTTTTCAGAGGAACGATGTTAGCCAAAAGCCGGGAAGGGAGGATCTTCGATTTTTACTGGAAAAAGAGAAATGGAAAAAGAGAAATAGTAGTGGTTCGGTTACTTGGGTATCCAACTAGACCTTGTACTCACAGAAAGAACCGTATGTCATTCATTTTAGTTGCTTTTTACAATATTATTAGCGATTTTCTTCGAAACATTGCACAAGCATAAATAATGACTAAAGAATCCGAATATGATCTGAATATTTTTGATACTATTATGTTTCTCTTGTGCACAGGAGCCTGTTAAAACATCCTTTAATTATATAACGGTTGATGCCTTCAACATCCTCTGTCTCCTCGCTGAAAACTAATCGCTTATGATTAGGAGAATCGCAGATTTCACCGAGGATGTCGCCAGATTTTTACAGGAATAAACGATTAAGAGAAAATATTTTATTGACGATTACTTCATACCTTCATACCACGGTATCATTCAATGATACCGAAGACATATATATTCTATTGGCAACAAGTCGTACATCAATAAGACAAGCATCAATCGCCAGTGGAAGCCAACAATAGAAATAGATAGATGGATAGAAAAAGACAGTGGTAGAATGTACAAACAGACAGAGAAACAAAAGGAAAACCAGTTAAAAAAAAGGAAACGAGAAAGTAGTCGAGTATAGAAAAGAAAATGCTAGGTAGGATCTGAAACGATAGAGAAAAAAAATATATACACAAATCCTGCGCAAGACGTTTATCAACTCCTATTTTACCAATATTGTCTTGAAATTTTCAAAAACTGTTCTAATTTTAGATTGTAGGTCAATAGACTATTTTGTTTTTACTACTGATGATGATATGTTAACATATCGCAACGTTTAGTTAATAAATTTCAATTAAATACGAAGAAAAAGTTCAAAGAACTTTTAAATAAAGTTCCAACTTCATAAACAATAATAGCCTTAATTAACGGGTGTCACTTAGATCGGTCACTTAGTATTTTGCTCATATCTTAATTGGATTTTATCTCCTAAACTTTGTTGTTTTCTTAAGGGCTCCCCTCCCCTCTAAAATTTATTTTTCCCAGAACACTCAACCTTACTGAAATTTTTATTGAATATGTATCTGATCATTGATAGTTCTCAGTAAAAATTTGAGCTCATAATATTGAGTTTTTCGCGAGTTATTGTAACATCAAGGGTCAAAAAGTAGGTGTCCGTGTGTCAAAGATTTTGTTTTCAGTTTTAATGATACGGACCTTGGGATGGTGTCAAAATGTAGAGAAGACCTGCTCCTACAACCTTACAAAGCCGAATTTTTGAAAAAAAAAATTAATCTTTTTTAGACAGTTTTTTCGAAAAATCTAGATTAATTTTTTAGAAAACTCGAGTTTTTTGTAAACAAATAAATTGAAAACAAAAATTCCGGCTTTGTTAGGTTGTAGCGCTGATATTTACCTTCATGTTAAAACCTTCCCGAGCTTTCTAACATTTAAAGTGGCGGAGAAATCTTTGATGCACAATCAGGTAAAACAAAAAAAACAGTTTCGAGAAAAACGCAAAACAAGTTTCTCCTTTGATTACCGATTTATTCTGGAACACCCGTTATGTATTGGGTTGTTAATGTCAAATAAAATGATTGACGTAAAGCTGTATATCATTCATATTTCCTGTCATATTTATTAGGATAGTTATTTGTATTCTTCGACAAAGAATAGTCTATAAAAGTATGACTGGATTAATTCGTTGGAGTCCATCTACATCGGTAATATTTGAATTTTTAGTTGTTTATCAAGCACGATTTTCTATTAAACAAATACATTCAGTTTACTTAATTCACCATTATTTCGGTTAATTAGTTAGGAGTTATATTGAATTTAGCGAACTTGATAAAAAGTTACAAAAGCCAATGGATTCTAGTTGAGCAAAATAATACTTTAGAATTACATTTTCTAATAAGAAAACAACAAAAACAAAACAAAAGATATGTATATATATATATAAATATGAATTTCATATAAAAAGAGATTTTTTTATATTAATTTTTAATATTTCCATTATCTCAACATCATTTGTTTAGTAATAGATCAGAAATAACAGAAAAATAACGGCAACTCTATTGCACAAATACTTTCAGTATCTACAGAAAAATTTGTTCGAAATAAATCTGACACTCGCAAAAAATATGGATATAAAAATGTTAACCATTATTATTATTATTATTATTAGTATTGTTATTATTATTATTATTCGTATTATCCTCCTTAAGATGGACGGAGTTTTATTTAGCTGTTAACAAACGTTGTATCTGACTTTCTAATTTACGTCGTGCAATTTTTTCTTCTTCAAGCTCTTGTTGTACCATTTTTAATGCCAAACGCAATTCATTTAATGTTTCAGAAATGAGACGATTACTAAAATAGTTTTTAATAAAAATATAGATGAATAGTTGAATTGATAATCCACTTACTTGTCTAACGTAAGTGGCATAATCTTGTCTAAAGATGTTATAGGTTGAGGACTCGTGACATTGTTAATATTAATACTATCATTTAAAATAATTGGGCTTGAATTGCCTACTAAATTAGGAGTATTTTGTTCATTTGAACCTGAAAATAAGAGAATTATATTAAAAATGAAACAGAAACTTTGACTAATATATTTTGAAAGCAGTCTTTCAATAAAATAGAGTACAAAGTCATGCCACAATTAGAAAGACATTTTGTTCTATGATACCTGCTGATACGGAGTGTCGACTTTTACCACTGGCACCACAATACGCTTCAATAACCGATAAAAGAAGAGAATCACCCTCACTAGTTTCAACTAGAAGAAATATATAAATTTATAAGTATATCTAGATTAGTACAAAATGATACAACACCTACCTCGTTTAAGAAATTCATTTGCTTTCATTTTTTTCATGGTCATAAATCTTTTTAATGTCTTATTTGCACCACCGCCGCTTCCTCCACTACTCGACTCATTTAATCCATCACTTGATCCAATTGTTTGACCAAGACGAATTCTATTTGGTGAATGAGGTCTTAAACATGATTTTGACCAAGGAGTTTTCGTTGGCGAACGTAGAGGTATTTTTAATAGTGCACCAGCACCTGTTGCACTTTTTGGTAAATGACCCAGCATTGACACAGACTAAGATTAACAGAAAAAATTTATTAGATCTGCTATACAAATATGTACTAGATTTAAAAGTGGAAAAAATATTACTTGAATTTCTGTATCTTATTGTCTCAGATTATAGATGAGTTGAAAAGTATATAAAAAACCTACTTTTGATACTTGTGGTGTATGCGGTGTTTCTATTTCGCTATGTTTGTGCTCGTAAGTTAACGAACGAAATTTGTCACACCATTCATTAAATTCCATTGTACTTGGAAATGAAACAATCATCGATAAAGATGGGGCTAAATAGAAAATCAAGAAGAATATATTTATGTTGACAAATGTCACAAAAATAGTAAAATTATTAAATACCGGATATTTTTAAAGCACGTTTACCAAGTACATCATCATCAATTTTACTTAATATTAATTGACTAAGAGACAAATGATTCTAAAAACAAACAAAATATGTTACAAATTTCAAAATTACAATGAAATTGCTATTTACTTCAAATTTATATTCTTGGGGTGAATTAGTTATGGACAGAAATATTAATACTGAACTGTATAACAATGCAATTCGTTCACTTGACTGACCATTTTCGAATATGACATTCACAGGCGTTAAACAGAGAGCTTCGCCGTACGAGGATAGATGCTGAAGTAAATGATAATGAACATGTGCATACGACATTTAACGAATGAAAAAATATGCGTAGGAGAAACGTATCGTAATCCCATAATAATCAAAAATAACAACAATTTCATGTTTTTCTCTTGCAATATAAGAATGTGATTATCTTTCACGAAGTTCGCAAATTTTATTCCGAACAAAAGAAAGATTTTACCATCCACTTCTATTAGAAAATAAAGAAAAACAAAAAATACCTTTTCTGTACTTACTTCACCATCTAAACCATGGATTGTACTGTTCATTATTTCTAATTCCCATTCTTTACGTTTACGTAGCTCGTTTCCAGAACGCTAAAAAAATCAAAATATACACACACACGTGATATTTACGTTTATTTTTTAAAAATTGAAATATCATCTCTACCGCTAATTCTGAGTAATATTCGGCTGCTCGTTGAGCATCACCACGATCTGGATGAAATTCCTAGTAGAATATAACATAAATACTATTAAATACTGATTTTATTTAATCTATGTTCATACCTCGAGATTATGAAGATATTCTTTTAATAAAACGGAATATTTTTCAAGTCTATTCAATGGTAATGATAAATTTTTTGTTAATAATAAATAATTATTTGTTCCATTTGGATCAATTTTTGATAATGTGGAAAGAATTTTATCTCTAAAAGAAGAAAAATAAATATACCATATAAAAAATCTAAAATATGAGTGTTGTAAGACTCTACATACTTATTAGAATTACAAAATAATATTGTTTTTGCATGTTGTTGACAATACATTTCAAATAGTGGTTTTAATGTTGGTGCTAATTGTAAGAATACTCCACCAATACGATGATTCGTTCTGTCAAATAACGATAGAAAAAAGTTTATCAGCGCAGATCTTAAATCTAAAGTGTAACTCCTCCATTCAAACGTGATGGACTAAGGTGAATGAAATCTATGTTCCGAGTGTGTACATTTATGCTAATTAATTTTTCTACGTAAGATATATCGGTGGGTACTTGCTCATCATTTCATTTGCAACATCAGAAGTTGTTGACGATGAGATCACAGAGATCTTAGAATGTTGACAAAGTAAAATAAATATATGGATAGTTTATTAAAACACAGTTTCTGCGTAAATATATTCTCCTTTAGCTAGTCCGTGTTAGCTTGTCCGCGCATACAATGTATATTCAGCATTGTCTGTGGGTTCGCGTACGTCCACAAGCGTTAGGGAGAGGGAATATGAGATGGGTAAACCTTTCAGATTTTAAGCAATTTCTCCCTTTACAAACATTCACTCCTCTTTCGGAGGAGTTACACAAAATAAAATAGAATGGGTGATGTTAATAAATCTGATCAAGATAGCGTACTTTATACAATCATGAAGAATAGACAGAAGATGACGATGAAATTTGATTAATTCATCTAATTGACTGTAAGTACGTTGAATGTCAAACGAATGATCGGGACTAAAACAAATAGAAATAAAAATAAGCATGATATTAATAAGGTGGTAGTTACGCTAATGGGAAACAAAATTGCCTCACGAGGGAACCTTATGAACTGTTACCTCGTTTTTTCACCCAAACTCGGTGAGTTATAGGTATTCGACCACGCTGATTTCGAATATGAACATGACAGCTGCCCTTAGGTCTTCAAAGATCCGGTTTTCTGGAAAACCACTTTTCAGAAACTCTAAAAAACAATCAAAATCTTTCTTAATGAGCCATGATTGTAGCCTGCAAATTTCTGATTAAAATGAGACCTCTCACAGTTCTACATAACCTTTCTTTGCAAAGTTATAGAATTTACACGAAAAGCCCTAAATGTTCATTGTCAGCTCAAAGCTACAGAAATAAGAAGAAATTAATTTAGGGCTTTTCGTGTAAATTCTATAACTTTGTAAAGAAAGGTTATGTAGAGCTGGGAGAGGTCTCATTTTAATCAGAAATTTGCAGGCTACAATCATGGCTCATTAAGAAAGATTCTGGTTGTTTTTTAGAGTTTCTGAAAAGTGGATTTCCAGAAAAGCGGATCTTCGAAGACCTAAGGGCAGCTGTCATGTTCATATTCGAAATCAGCGTGGTCGAATACCTATAACTCACCGGGTTTGGCTGAAAAAAGGAGGTAACAGTTCGAAAGGTTCCCTCGTCAGTAGATATAATTGGACTACAATTCATTTTTCTTGAATCGTTTTTTCTACTATACCCGTCTCAACTCCAAATTTATCCATAATATTTTCAGAATATATCATCAACTAGTTAGTATGAAGCAGATATATTACCTGAATGCATTGTATAGCGGTTGGATTATTTGAGTTAGAAATTCTTCTAATTCACCTACATATTGCTGTTCGCTTTCGATTAATGTTTCAAGAATCTAAAAAAATAAATAAAGATTGATAATATGCAAACATTATTTCCGCTTATTATAAATTCTTAATATAATATTAAGTATCCTAAGTATTAGATTATTTATAAAACTATATTAATATTTTTATTATAGATTATTATTATTATTATTAACTTAAAAAGTTAATTTATTTATCTAAATAAACAGCAAGAGAGTGTGAATTTACATTCGCCTTCCATCATGGCACACATAAGTAGCAAAACTATATTGTATATGTGATGTGTATGATGTGAACCTCAATCTACACACGTACAATGACATCCTGCCATGAACAACGTATATTTGTCATCGAATATTTAAACGAAAAAAGATATAAAAACAGTGGTATTGTTAAAAAAAATGAAAAATTATTTTGAAATTAACTTACTGTTTCACGATTTTTTCTCATTTCTTGACATTGTGATGCTGTACTCTGAGTCGACGGCGTTGAATCTAAATATGACATAATTATAATTCTTATACGATGAATAAACCCATGAGATGGAATACATGTCATGAGCCTAACTCCACTATCACTATCGGATAAGTATTTTTTCATTATAAATATATTTCTACCGAACATTACTATCTTAAGATTTTTATTTTATTCATTTTACTTGTGTCTGGTGTTGTACAAAAAAAAAAACGTCTGTGAAATACAGAACTCATACTATGAAAGATGTTTCTGAAGCAAGTAAATTTTTATCAATAAAAAATATTCAGCGTAAAATATAATTTTCAATATTTATGAGTTTCAGAATATAGTGTTCTGATGAAAAGTCACCTCGGCTATATATCCGAGTTTCTTGTTAAATTAGTTGATCTTTATTTTGGCAGATATTTTTGGTTTTTCAGCACCAGTCTCGAATTCAAATAAAAGGATATTTTGAAAATGATGTCAAAAGACAGAGCACTGGTAGAACTACAAGTTGGTAAGAGAACAATTCGGTTCGCGATGAAACCGAAAAATCTATATGTATTAATCTTAGTGCGTATAAAATCACTTATTAGTTTAGTCAAGGTTGACATAGGAGATTAGTACAGTTCTCCTGTTGGCTGTTCTCCTTCGCATTCCATCTTCTATTGATGATTTTTCTCCGCAAACGGTACATTCTTCTTTTTTCTATTCAACTATTGCTGATTGAAATAATTTCCCAGAGTTCTTCTTTAATATCTTTCCAAACAGCTTTACTTCAGTATCTCTATCCAGTGAAACGATTGTCAGTCAAGAAAATCGTTTTTTACTATTTCTGATTCTAACCTTAGTTGTCTTCTTTAGTTTGTTATTTTTTATTACTCTTTTGGTGTTGTTTGGCTTGAGTCCTTGTTATTACAGGTCGGGGACCTCTGATGACTCTCACGTTTCGTAAATAAAAGTCTTAGTCTTAGTCTATAAAACAGTCTTAAAGAACAATTAGAAGTTAATGGGACATTAACGTCGGCTCGCGATGGAAACGAAAAATCTATATGTATTAATTTTAGTGCGTATAAGATCATTCGTTAGTTTAGTCAAGATTGACATAGGAGATTAGTACAGGTATTTTGAACGTCACATGGTCAGCTAAAGTGACATTTTAGATCAATATAAAAGTCATAATCGCATTTCATTTAGTTTAAGCATCACGAAAGCTAACATTCAAAAAAATCACAGTCTTTCCTTTTCCTGCTGGAATCAATAAGTAAAACTTTCTTTAACAGTTTGCTCATATAGTTCAAGCTGTTCCACATGACCTTTTAACGAACATCCAAGAATAAGATATTCAACAATTTCGCCTGAAAGAGCTATACTGCTCTATCGATAGGAGTGATAAACTAAAGTATTTCATGACTATACGTCTGTTTAACGTACAGCTTGATGTACTCCGACAATCTATTTGTATTGCTTTTTTTCTATAGTTTTGTAAACGACATGCATTAAATAAATGTCGTAGGCCAATTAGTCAAACTCCATTCACAACAGCTGAATAACATGAAGTGAAGCTCCAAGGATTTTATAAAAAAATCTATAATTACAGCAGACATCTGTAGTATTCCCACAGTAATGTCTGTCATGATTTTTAAATTTCTTTTCTAAATATCCTAAAGTTAGTAAATAATTTTCTAAAAAAAATTTGTTGAATAACATTTTCAATTTGTATCAGTGATAATCATTTTTCTGACCAATAATTATAGTCGTAGTATAATATAAAAAATTGCTTTCTAAATTTTATGAGACTATATATCGAAAAAAAACTCTAATCAGAACGTTTGATATAGTAATATTTCCGATAGTAGTCGACAGACTTCGTCAAGTTTCTTTTTCTACACGATAGAACGGCTATGACATTCACTCCAAATATTAATAAGTACAAATTATCTCAACAACTAAACAAAGAAGAGTATTATGATAATAATTAGCAACTTTAATTGTTGTTCCTGATACAAAAAAAATAACAACAACAGCTCATATTATAGGTCAACAGTAATAGATGTTAAATGTTTCCCATGATACATGTCCTATTCTAAAGAAAAACTAATACAAACAAAGCTTGTGTAATAAATAGAAAAAAAACTCTATTGTTAATGTTTCCTGGCTTATGTTCATTCTAAATAAGAAATTAATTGATCAAAGCTGTACAAATCACAGTTTTTTTGCTTATAAAACAAACCTCATGTCACCAATTATTCATTAATTACGTTAATTCTTCTTTCTAACGACTGTCATGAAAATCGGATGCAGAATGCAGAACTTTGAACCTCATGTATAACTGACCATACAGAAGTTCTGCGCGAGAATCGAACTATTTCATACTACATTCTATTAATTGCATCTTTTTTCTCTTTCTCGATTCAACCTCGTTTCATCGGTTTTACTGTACAAATTTTCTCAAAGTTGACTAATACGATGTTCTTCGTTCGAAAAGTATCTGATCCTTTAGATAGGTATGATTTAATATGACATATAATAAGATAAAAGGGAAATATTTTTTACTCTCTAGAGAAAATCACGTCATATATAAAGAAAAGAACATTAAGCGAGAATCATACAAGTTTATCGCTCACATGGAATGATTTTGACAGATGTAGTGATAAGAGATGTTTAGTATTCTTTATTTTAGTATTTTATTTGACTAAAAACAGTAAAAATTCAACAAAAAATTTCAAAGGCTGACTGTCTCAGATAGACCAATTCAAAAGTTCAACTGATCGGTTCTAACTTCAAATTGTATGAATTTTACTACTTTATTAATTTTGAAGTCTTACAGATGTGATGTTTGTTCTCTAGAAACCTTAGAAGATGGAAAAATGTCAAAATATTTAATATTTTTTGTTTATAAGATAATTTATGATATATAGAACGAAGATATATGTTTTGATGAGTAGACACGAGCTTCTCATAGGATAGTTTCATAAATGATAATATTGTGGCAGCAACTTCTAAAATGAGCTACTAAAATAATGAGTTTTTATAATGCCGTAATAGATCTATAAGATCAATAAATTGTAAAAGGCACAATGATGTTACCAGGCTTTGACCGAAATTTTTATAAAATCTGTTGTTTTTTCGATCTCGAAGTTTCATGCTTGCGCATCTGTCTATGATGCATATCATCAGATTATCACTCAACAAATACTGACATCCCTCGTTTCTTGGTAAAATAATTAATACAATAGATATCAAATTGTGATCGACAAGGTCGAAGAATTGCATACGCACTGTTATTTTTACGAAGTCTAACTGTAATTTAAATTTTTTATATATACATAAAACTGAACGAACTGAAATTTGTTAAATTCACTCTTAGTCAATTTTATAATATTGAAAATATTTCATATCCGATTAAAAGTTTAACAATTTGTCTACTCTTGTTTATTGATGTGATTCTTTTAAAATTTGACATACTATAGGAAATATTATAGGAAAACATTTTTTCGTCTAAAATATATATTCAATTATTTCTCAATATCTTTTAATCTACGGTGGTTCAGGTAATATTGAATATTAGATGCAAGAACTGTATAAGATATTGATCAACTATGTTTATTTAAGTATAGCATTATACTACAGGTTTCTCTTGTAAAATATTAAACAATCAATCACCGTAAAAAAAATATATTGACTATTTATAGTAGACAAAAGTAAAAATAATAATAAATGTCAACCACCATCTAACTAACTTATTTTCCATTTGTTATATAGATGAGAATTTATCTTTCCGTTCATGACATGATTATATCATCACCACATCGAATATAGTACTAAATGATCATTTATCGTTTGTTCGTATTATTCTTTCTCTTCTTATCAATATCCATATGTTGAATGGAAAAACGATAGAATATATTCCAGTTGTTTTGCTCGTTTTCTTCTTGTTTTTTCTTTCAGTTTTAAAGCAAAAAAAGGAATGTTGAATTATTAATTACGATAGAAACATGTACAGAAATCTTTCTAATTATAATCTATTACTTATACTCATTGTGTAATCTGAACTAGAACTGTAAACTTCGTATATCATCACTACACTTACTTCAACTTATTACCTTCAACAAAAATCAAGGTTAAATTTAAAAATCATTTGCAAAAATAACGCCCATCGTTTTGAAGATTAAAAGGTTATACACTATTGATTTTCAGTTGTAAAACAACAATTATCACTTGTAGATTATCATTAACAGTTCGTTAACACTTGAAAAACTATTTTTAACCACAATCATAGAGTTAGATAATTCAAAAACGTCACTTATTTTTACTAGATCATTGACAAATCGATTATATTTTTGTTAAAACTAATAATTCACATTCTCAGTGTAGTTTACTCAAAACTCCGAAATAATTCATACACATTTCGGAGAACAATAAGAGTTTTTATATAGGATTTCAAGTCTAATATATCGAATTTCTAGATCATGTTTATCAACACAGCAGAAAAAAAACATTATTTTGTGATAAAAGAGGTGTGTTTATCCAGTAATCTCTACTTTACACTTTTTATTCACAACATTCTTTTCTCACGTAATCAAAATTCAAAATCAAATTATGAGACTTTCACCTTTGTCAGATCGAAATTACTATTCTCAGTCTTACATTCAGTTATTAACAGAAGAAATGGAACAGTATTAATCCAAATCAATATTAAATTAACAGAAGATTTTACCACATACAATCATAAACATATTAAAAGTATTTCTTCAAAGAGATAACCAAAAGACTCCTAAGAAAAGTGTAGTGTACTATTGAACCATAGTCAAATTTTAACCCTTATATCTAACGTTGTAGTACTATGACCTACAGTCTTATCAATTAAAACAACTGTTCATACTTACGTGTTTTACATGTAAAAAATCGGCATACACAACTTGATGAACTCATATCTTCTATGATGTGGTAGTTGAATAAGAATGAAATTGAATTCTACTATGTTTGGTATTTGTATTGAACTTTTTCTAAGTGCATACTCTTTTAATATTTTGATGAAGGTTATAATGATAACCACAATGAAAAACCACAAATGAGAAAAGAATGAAAACGAGGAAGAAGAGAAAAATAAAAACCTGAAGAAAAACATAATGTCTTTCTGAAAACATGTTTTCTTCTTCTCATCAGCATCATCATATTTCGAAAAAAAAAACGAATGAGTATAGAATAATAATAATGACAACAACAACAACAACAGCGGTAGTAGTAGTAGTAGTAGTAGTAGTAGTAGTAGTAGTAGTAGTAGTAACAGCATAGATCATATCAATAAATTGAAAGAAAATCAAGATCAAATTTCGTTTACTAATAAGAAAGACAGATAGACATGTAAATACATAGTGGACAGAGAATTTTGTATCTCATAATTTTCAAGAATACAATTAACTCGATTAACGTCTTTTTTCATAATTCATCATTATTCAGTGGATAACATTTGCAGCATCAACAGTTTGATTCTTTTTTTTTCTCTTTTTTTTTCGTGTGATAGTCTAATAGAGTTAGATAGATTATATATTTTGTCACTTTAAAGAAATATACGAACAAAGAACGAAGAAAAAAAAATATTGGTGTGTGAAAGAAAAAGAAGATATTGGTGTGTGAAAGAAAAAGAAGATATTGTATATATAATGATAAAAAATAAACAAAGAACAAAGGCCATGCTTTAAGAGTGAAGGAAAAACTGCAACAATATGTGTCGCTATTAAAAGTGTCTATTTAACTTAACTCAATTATCTACTGATACAATATGATAACTAATTCACAATCCGAATCGGCATAAAAAACATTAAATGATAGCCTTTTTGATATTAGAACATTGGCATAACAAAAGAAACATTTAGTACCGCTGCACATCATAAATAGGTAAGTATTTGCATATCATAAAGAAATAGCTTGATGAACTCGGTTTTATACTGTATTTACCTTGTTTGATCAATTCAACATAATTCATTGGAAACCAGCCCGTTTTCGTATCTAAAGTTCCTTCCCACCATCCACCTTCAGGTGATTGAGTTATCACGATTATATCATTTTTATTGAATGATAACTAAATTATGCAAATAATATATATATATATATATATACGTGTGTATACAATTCATTAGGGATTAAAAACCAGCAATCAAACTTACCTCATCTGTATTTTGAGCTTTAAAATTATAATTTGCTTTAACACTTTTACCTTGATAATTTTCAGCCATTGAGATTAATGAATAATGAGAAATTCAATGTGTTATATCTGAAACAATACAATAGATACCAAAAACTATTTTACAATGACTTGAACTCAACATTTGGATAGTTTATAAAAAAATGCTTAGATAAAAAATATTATCAATAAACTCTCGATCTTCATTCATCATCTTCTCTTGAGTTCATAATGGAAGAGATTTATCATTAGTTTTTCGTCATAATATACGGACGGATTTTATTCATCTCCAACGCACAAATCGGATAAATCGAAAATTAAAATGAATTACAAATGGATTATTCGATTGTAAGGAATAATTAATTTTGTAAATACTTGATAAACCACTCATTTGCTGCGTTCGCTGCAATGTCAAATTGTTCAACATAGGGTGAAAAATGTCCACCATTGAACATGACCAATTTTTTAGGTTCACGCGCTTTATTTTGAAATACTTCAATCTGATCATCTGTAAATGTTACCGTATCTTTATCTCCAACAATCATCTGCAATGGACATGGTGAAATTTTTTCAATATATTCTTCTGGTTCATATCCACTATACAATTCGATACTCCGTAATGTTTGTTCATTTAACCAGTTTCGGCAACGCCACTTATCTTTATCCGGTACCTGATCCACATTAAAAAAATACCACCAATCTTGTTGTTCTTCTGGTTTGATAATGGGCACCACTTTTGGTTTATGATCAGTTGTTCTATTTTCATTCTCTTTTTCAAAATCCTTTACTAATTTTTGCCATTGATCTTCATCTTTCACTCGTCTTCTAATATTTCGTTTTCCACTAATTGTTGGTACTTGTGAAACAACACATTTGACACGTTTATCTTTTGCACTGACAACGAGTACATGTCCACCACTATAACTTGTTCCCCATATACCGATACGTAGTGAATCAACAAGTGTTGTCAATGATTGTAAATAATCAATTGCCGAACTATAATCTTCAATTTGTTTCCATGGATCAATTTCTTGTCGTGGATCACCATCACTTTCACCAAAATTTCGATGATCATAAACCAGCACAACAAAATTTGATTTTGTAAATAATTCAGCATACAAATCTAAATATAGCTCTTTAACAGCTGAATAACCATGTGTCATAATGATTGCAGGATAAATTTGTTGGTGAGTATTATTTTGAACAGGTTGATAAAGCCAACCTCTCAATATTACACCATCATTAGCACTAAACTCAACATTCTGACGTGTAAATGACATATTCAAAATTTAGCACGTCAAAGAATTTCTAGAAAAAATAAGTTTTCGATTTCTGATTCTATTTATCATTTATATATAACATAAAAAATATGCATGTTTCGTTGTCAATGGCTCTATATTCAGTTATTATTTTGTTCATATTTAGGTTCAAAATAAAGATAAAAAGTAAAAGAGTAGATTAGCATGACAACAATGAATAAACAATAAAAACATAAGTATCAACAAACAATCAGTAATAATAATAATATTCATAAACGTATTTACAAGAGAAAACGTATTCCGTCACAAAACACTGTCATTCGATATTAACAAAAAAAACAGCATTGACAAAATAATTACGGACAAAAAAAAATAAGACACTAAAATCAAATGAAAATATCATAGATGTGAACAATTCTCTTTAGTCTCACTTACTTTTAAGAAAATAAACAAAACACATGTGGGACAAAATCGATAGAATAACGTAAAATAGGAAACAACAAAATAAATTGAAGCAAAGATTCAAGACGATACATATAAAGTTCACGTTTTCTTCTCATTCATACCACAGACGATAAATCCCAAATCTAAAAGAATAGTAAAAAGAACAGTATTATATAATTACGTTTGTACATTCTCTTTTTGTATCGAAAGAAGGAAAGAAGGATCAGTAATTCTAAAGTTTTCTCAGAAAGTACGAGTATAGCGTAATTTTCTGAAATAATTGACATCTTACAAGATCGAAGACAGACTTAAAACAAAATACAAACATATTCTACAGCACACATCATATCATACGCTCGTTCACTGAATGGCTACAGTCACCTGAAAATATGCCACTTACTTTGATTGTTCTATCGGTACCCACTGTTATAAACATTTTCTTTTTTGATACATAATCTGTTTTTATTATACCATGTTTTGCATCATGAAATGATGCTAATGGTACCGTTCTTTCAAAAAAAACAGAAAAATAACTATAGCATTAGTTTTAATATTAATTCAAATTGAGAACTTACTCATCGCTTTTCATTGTTTTCTCACACTCACTACAAACTCGTTGAGCTATTTCATAGCCCAATAATGGCATTGTTGTACGATTTTTTGAACATGGAGCACAAATAGCTTTTCCACATTTACGACAATGATGCTATTCAAAAAAGTTCGAGAAATAAGATTAAAAATGTGCTAAGCTTTACTTTACCTGTCTCAATCCAATTTGTTTTTGTTGCCACATAGCTTTTACGTTCCAAAAAAACGGTGATTTGCATATCTGACATATATCGCTCTCAAGCCATTTTGGTGTCTAAAACAGCAAACGAAAACAGTAAGAAATATTGAAAACAATACTTATTTTTGTCCCTTTCGCTTATCTTACTTCATTTCGTTTAATATTCGTTGGCCATATACCAATATTTCCATCGGTAGAACATGTTAGCAAAATTTTAGCTGGACTATCATAGGATAAACCTACAATTCTATCGGCATGACCATTCAGTTCTATAGCACGACCTTGATTTGTTCCAATTTCCCAAAGAATAACTGAAATAAAAACAAACGTTAAGAACAAACGACGCTTTTATTAATAACTACTAACCTGTATTATCGAAGCTACCAGAAAATAACCATTCAGCGTCCGGTTCCCATAGTAATGTTTGAATACTTCCTGGACGAAAAATATTCATATGAAATTTATTTCGTTATTATTGCTAGTCAGGACTTACCAGTGTGTCCTGAAAGTGTCGTTATTAGCTGACAATTTGAATCATTCAATTTTAAAAATGAAATATTTCCACCAAAATCTCCAATGAAACAATGCTTTGTTAGTTCATCAAATCTAAATAATGGAAACATAGTTATTTTGTACAGTATTAATGAACAAAGACGCAAGTGCAAATCAATTGTGCTTATTTAGTTGTCTCGGGTTATAAAATTACAAGTTAAACTACTCGATCTGATCAATATAAATATAGACGTGTTTGTTGTTAGCTCACTGAATTGCCATTCCCCAAGAATCCAAATCGTAAGTGCCCATTAGTCTCCCATTTTGTGTTGAATACCAATGAAATTTTTTACCACGACTAACACTTAGTAACAAATTATTAACAGATGAATAATGCACTGCTTGAATTCGAGCCGGATGACCTATACAGAAAAGATATCAGAATTTTAATCGTATTCTAAAGTATTCTACAAAAAAAAGTGATGTACCTGAATAAGTTTGATTAAGTGTAATTTTATTGTAATCTTCAGCTACAGTAAATTCCTTAAGAGTAAAAATAAAAAAAGGAATAAAGATAAATAGTCAACAAAAGTAGCAACTTACATAAATAAGACCCGCATCAGAGCCGCAAAATAGTAAACGTGATGCGTCATAATAATATAAACTTGTTGGAGAACCTACAAAAATCATCTGATAACATAGAAATGATATAGGAAATAATTCCTTCTAACCTACTTTCTAATGTATTACATACACTTGGCCAATATTTACCGGTTTGACGACGAAGCCATATTCGTAACGTTCTAAAATAAATAAAAAGCAAACATCCAAAAAAATTCAACACTAAACTGGGAGAAGGAGGAAGATTTGTTTCTAGCTTACCTATCCTCATTTAAAGCCGTTATAATTCCATCTTCATCTAGTAATAAAATTGCATCATTGACATCGTTATCAATATTATCAATTCGTCCAGTTAACTCGGGTTCTGAAACATTCAAATATAGTTTAAATTCGTACAGATGATAAAGATTGTAATGATGTTGAACTATCTTTGATGACAAAAGAATGAATAACTCACTTCGTTGTTTTCCTGCTCCTTGAATCGCTGCTGCCATTTGATGATTACTTTTTTGCAATTTTGGTTAATTAAATGCGATCATCATTATTATTAATTAAAAAATAGATTAGATAAGACGGTAATAAACATCAGATATTTCTTCTACAATGTGAAAATATACAATTAATCAATTATTACATATCATTTGTGTTCGTAATTAAAACAATAGCATAACTAAAGATTATAATTCCTCTAAGGTCAAGATATTTTGCTAGAAACCTGCTTTAATGCATAGCCGTGGCTAGGGCACGTACCTACAATACTGTGACACAATCTTTGGTTGCACCTTTGATTAACTAAACAACTGTAATTCCTACATTTCATATTGACGATGATACTGCGACTAAGAGTTTGCGCTAAAGCGCAATTGGATTACTAAGAATCTAGTTTTTCAAGCATAATCCTACTTATATGCCAGAGTAACTGTACAACAGTCATTTTTAACCCTTTCAGGACCGGTTTAATTTTTATATCTACAGTGCTATTGAAAAGTTTAAGACCTCTTTTATTTTGCAATATCTCGGCTTCCCTGACAGATAGAGACTTCATCCTTTCGTCAAAAGAAAG